ATTCTGTTGATAGTATACATGCTTCATTATTGTTGTCTGCCGGAAGAAGGAAGCTAAAATTTGATATGTATATTCACGTAATTGATTAGTTCTGGAAAAAAAAAAAAGTGAATTGTCAGCAATCTTAAAGTTGTCCAGTGACTGTCTTTAGGCATGTTTAGTCTAGTCCAACCATATCATAAGAGATTGTTATAAATGATATTGTAGTTATTGCTGATTTTGGTAATTTTTAATACTAAGGCTGAACATAGGAAGATTTATTATTCTAAAGAAGAATGTTGCTGGATAGTAATTGGATCGTAAAATGCTGTATAGAGAGAATGGGAAGCCAATTTTGTTTATCACAGCAATTTCAGGTTAAAATGTAAGCACTTTGTTGCCGCAAATTTTAAATTCTAAATTACATTTTTATTAAGTGTTGACATTGGGCTGCCTGGGGCTGATGTGCACCTGTGGTTCCCTAGCACCCACTTATTTATTTTCATTTATTTGAAACTTTTGTAATGTTAATTGCAATTTTTAAAATCAAAATGTAAGGAAAAATAAAGATGATCATTAGGACAGTTGCATTGTGGGTAATGATATCTCCCACCATAATTTATCATTATCATTTTATTGTATACTTTTTGTAATATCACTAGAATTTGATCTGAAAGTGTCTGTTCTGTTCTTGGTATGTTTTTAAGCCTTCAAAGAATTTTTACTTCAATATTTTACTTCCTTTATGAGCCTATGTGGGCATTCTCAAAGACAAAAAAGGAAAGTTTTGTGTGCCTCACCTTAATTAAAACATAATTGTGCATTTCCCTTCCATGAAAATTGTGCTGATAAATTTGGTGATATGTGCTTCTTCCTGTATACCAGCTTGATATGATCTCTCTGCCAAGTTATTTATAGGTTTGAGTGATATTTAGTGTATAAAACTGGCTGTAGAGTATTTATGTATTTTAATTTCTTGGGAAATTTGTGTATTCCTTAAGGATATGTGTATATCTTATGTGTAGGCATAGGATACACCCTGTCATTAATGCATACACAGTAGCAACACAGTTGTTTTAAGACAGTTGTAGTAGATCTGCAACTAGTATTCTTGATTGCTGTACTGGTGCCCTGGTGGTAGGTACATATGTGGTAAGAGTAGGAAAGTGTACTTGTTACAGGTAGGATTTTAGGGGCTGGTCATTTTGATGAAAAATGTTCTTGAAAATGTTCTCGATTATTTCCCTTTTTTTCTCTCTTCACGTTTGTTGTTTAAGACATCTTTTCTCTTTAATTTCTTTACATTGCATCACCTTTAAAATTATTCAAGGTGAATTTAGATTAAGGTTTTAATGGATAAAGAAATATTGAATTATAATATTAAGTTGTAAATTGGTTTTGTCAAATCTATAATATGCAAAGTCCTTGTTTTTTAATGGTGTAATTTGTTATTAATATTTTAACCATGAAATAAAAACTTTATTGAGAAGACCAGGATGAATCCTCCCCCCCCCTCCCCATCTGATACTGGAAATGTTGGCAAGTTTAGATGAAAATAAAACAAATATGGCTTTTTTAAGGTAGGATAATGCATTGTAAGTTGACAAGCAATAAAGACATATATGTAATAAAAATTTAGATATGAAAATAGACTTAAAGTACATGTAAATGACCCAAAATTTGGAATATAGTATGATGATTTTGTAAATTCCAGAGTGCTTGCTTGGTACCAATAGTGATACTAGACTGAGTCCAGATAATGTTGATTATATCTTATGTTACTGCATCATTGTATGTGCTTTTTAATTTGCACTCTCACACACACACACACACACACACACCACTTTCCTAAGTTTACATAAATATAAACATAGGTATTCGTACTTTTAAAAAGAAGAAAAATGCAGCCGTAAAAAATAGGATTAGAAGTCTTTTCACATGGTTCTTGATTTACTAATGTTATATATAATTTAAACAATAAAAAAAATTGCTGATTAGGTAGTGTTGCTATGTGCTTTATTATATTCTGTAAATTAAAGGTGAAGTATTACATTATCTGGATTATGGAGCTTAAAACAAGAAACTTTGTGATGACAAGTTTCTTACATAAATAATGTACTTATCAGGGTGATATTGTAACATAGAATCCGTGCTGCTCTTTTAGTGAGTAAAAAAGATAACATGGAAGAAAGTTGTTCTTTGTTTAACCTTCAGGGTCTGATTGGGTTTGTTTCTAAATTATGCAGGGTATTGGCAAATCCCTACAGTATGGATTTTTCAACCTCAATGGATTGGCCAATGTGGACTATACCCTCAAAGTTGTATTGGAAAAGTAATGCAATTGAATGATGCTTTGTGACAAAAGGGTAAAATATTACTAGTTGCTTCTTATTTTTTTCATGAAAGGCTAGTATAGCACTTAGGTCTGGTTTTAAAATGGCAAAGTAACAGTGATAGTTAATAATTTACCATACTACCCAGGTACAAGATAATACATTAAGTTAATACAAATATCCTGAAATTGAGGCCCCATACTCCAAGCATTTGCTTCCTGTACCACCAAGGAATATGAAGACCCCTTGCTATATATTATCCTTCTAAAGATAAAAGGCAACCTTATCACACATGAAATATATCAGCAGATAAGAGCACTTCGATTAATATACTGGTTGCATTTGGCATGATAAAAATGCCATGCCTATTGTAAGTTTAGTACATTATTTTTAACAATGCAGAGAAGGCTCTTCAAGTGCACAGGTCACTAAGGATCAATTATTACTGCAGCCCTAACACCTTCCCCTCTCCCTCCCCACACTATCCGCAGCAGATATACTAAACGTTCCATCCCCTTCTTCTTCTACCACATACTCACCTCCACCTACCTTTGCCTTTACTCCTCAGACACCAGTCTCCCCCCCCCCCCCCCTCATAAGAAAACCTTTGTCTTACAAAACTTCCAGACCAACTCCATTTCAGAAACTTGAAGATATTCAAAACTATCTGCTTGAGTCCCAAAATGACACCCAAAAAACGTCATCCACCCTCAAATTCCACAACTCCCGCTCCCTCCACACTCAAAACTGACTGGCGATATCCATCCTCCTCCTACTCCCTTCCAACACAGCCCATCCTCCCCAGCTCCAACTACACCCACATTAACCCTCCCTCCATCCCCTCTATCCCTTCCACTCCCTCCTGGATACAACATGAAACCCTCTTGTCACAACTATGCCCTTCCCATCCTCCACCCCTGATACCCCTCCTGATACCCCCCCCCCCCCCCTCTAATTCATTATCTCACCCCCTAGCTCATTCCCCTTCAAATTCTCCAGCACACACAGTATACATTATCACTCATAGATCAACTAAGATATAGCTCTCCTTGGAATATTTGTGGTTTCTGTTCTCACAGACCTGACCTTCATCATATCCTTTCTTCTTATAACCTATCCATTCTCTGCCTCCAAGAAACTTTTCTTACACATCCTCTTCTTTGACAACCTATTCTTGTTCCTCAGACACATACATATCCTTCACTTCATTTCTTTTCCCTATTTTATTCAGGCTCACTATATGGGGCTTAATGCCCCATTAAGCCTTTCCTCTTCATCAAGTAGCCTATCTGATTTTGATTTTGATAATTGATACTGATACCCCTGACAACTCTATCCATTCCAAACCACCCACCCAGTTTATTACTCAACCTCCAGAATGCACACCTTCCTCTCTCCCAACATTCTTCTCTCCATCTACTGCACATTCTTCTTCAATGTCTACCCCCCTCTTCCTTTATTACTATTCTTCATCCCCGCCACAGAACTACTCCACTTCACACCACCCCACCTTCCTTTTGCCCTCGTCCTTCTATTACCCCTACCTCTGCAAACCTCTTGAGTACTCTCTTTGGCCCAGCTAAGTGGGACCAATTCTTTGTGATTCAACCCACAACCCCCTACTCTGAGAATACCCTTCTCTTTTCCAATCTAGAAGGAGAAAAAAGTTACCAGATCATGATCAAGTTTCTGCAATAAGTTATAAAATCATTTCCATTTTGTTAAATTATTCCTTCTCATATCTTTATATACATAATATCCAAAGATGATTTACCATAATAGAAGACCCAAAGAAAAACCAAAAATGAAATATATTTATTTACAAACAGACCACACTATGACTCCTCTCTCTTCACACTTATTAAACTCAGCTCTTAAATCTGGTCTATATTCACCATGCCATAAACCTGTGAAATGACAACAGCTTTAAGAGTAAACCAATTTAAAATATAATAAAATAAAACCCACGTGAGCTACACAGGTTTGAGCAGAGCCCATGAGCCCAAGCCAAGCACTGTTTATGACAGCCTTCAAGGGGGTATTTATGCCTTTTTACTCCCATGAACGAGATACAAGTTTCCAGATGGGGCAGCATACTATGCCTTCTCTTGAGCTTTTCCCCTCATGGGAAAGGGGAGATTCGCCAATTCTGCTGCTGGGAGGAATCCACTGGCTAGTGACTCTCTGTATAGAACCCAGGATCTCAGGTCTCCATAATTATATACACCTTAGAAGGATATGTAGGTCCTAGTGTAAATCAATATTTACTAGTTGGCTGCATAATAAGCAGTAGAATAAGCTATTACTGCTTAACCCACTTGCGCCGGGTGTCACGTACGTACATGCCATGGCTGTTGTGGACCAAACGCCGGGGGCATCATGCCATGCCCATTCCCGCGCTACAGGCTCGTCGGACGGAGGTTGTTTTCCTCCACTAGCAGCGGCTTCATTTATATGGTAAAGATTTTAGGCAATGGCGCCTAAAGTGAAGGTAAACCTTCAAATTTTAATATGTTCATAAATTTTAGAAAAATAAAAGCTTTTAGGTGCTATATGTCGCTCGCAAACTACCGATCGAGCCGGGCGCAAACAGGGGAAACTGCCAGTGCGCGCCAACAAGCCGGCGCATACGTAAACTTGACAAAATTTTGATGGGTTAAGGATGATTTATATTCTGAATGGAATACTATTTCACAGTTTTTATTGTTACATTCTGCATTAGGGTGCAAGGGCAACAGGGAGCGTTGTGCCACATGGTCCTTCAAAATGAAATCTGTAAATGGAATAAATAACACAATTAATCAAAATATCAGCATCATCAGCAATATTAATATAATTATATTAATCGATATGGTAATAGTAGAATGATACCTGTACCGGTCTCACTGTGTGTAATTGTTGGTTAGACACACTGTCCTGCCCGCTGTATTCTATGACCTGGTGCAAAGAACTGTTATAAAAGGCATAAAGACGAGACTCTAAGGCATTGGGTAACATCCAGCATTCACTTCCATTGAATGAACCTGGCAGTATCAAGGCCTTCTGCACAGGTACCAGTATCACCAAATACTTTTGTCAAGAAAGTTCATGATACCTGCTATTAGGCCAGTCCAAGGTTGGTGACTTTAACATTGTCCAGTTTTGTTCCACAATGACTTTGGATATCAGCTATGTCCAGTATCCAGTCCATGTAAGTGTTGAAAAGTGTTGATGCAAGGAAAAACTGCCTCTTGAGTTCACAGGAAGAAGTAACATAGGCCCCCACCACACTTTACAGTACTTTCAGTAACAGTATACAAGCTTGCTATTAGTCCCATGATTCTTATTGGAATTCCCTTCAGTCTTAGGATTCCCCAAGAGCAATTTGCAATGCACTAAGTCAAATGCCTTGAGGTTGATGTAGGCTGCAAGAAGCCGAATTGCCCAGGTCACTGGTGCCACAGTAGGTGGTCTCTAATGTGAGTAGGGACCTTGCCTAGTATACTGAGCAATGTAAGGCTTTGGTAATTTCTGCAATCCCATCAATCCCCTCTCTAGATATGGGGGAATACTATCAGACTACCAGATGACAGTCTAGACAGCATGCAGACCTTAGGATTACACAACGCATATCCAGGTTACCTATTGGTGAAGCAACTCGGTACAAAGTAATCAGCCCAACATTCTTGCACCCCAACACTATTTGTTATAATCTGGCCATCTGGTGAGTGGACTGCAGTCACCTGTGTGGAGGCTTTGGAGTTCATCCTACTCAGGGCTTGGTAGGCTAGACAAAAGCTATTTACTAAGAAATGGCGTTCAATATCCTCATCAAGATTCCTGCTGTACTGTTCATTGTTCCTTCTCAACAGTGTCCAAGTCCTACATGTCAGGGCACAAAGCAAGCAGAACCCCAATCAGTAAGGCCGCACAAAATGCATCTTCCAGGAGGTACCTCGCTGGGAGATATTCTGTCTTACTCTAAGGTGGTCAAATGTTTCGTACTTGAAGGTATCCTAAAGCACTACAGGGTCCATCAGCTTGTCAAGTGCTGTGACAGAACAGACACACTCCCCATCCTGTCCATGTGAAACACACTAAGGCAATCCCTGAGACCCAAATGGATTTTCGAAATGCACTCAAGAGGATAGTCATAACCAATATATGGTTGGTACCACAGAACTCAGTACTCCAGTAGACAAAACAATACTACAGTGAACACAACATTTTCCTGGGGCCATTGGGTTAAGAAACAACAAGAATAAAGTAAGAAAACTAAAAATGACAACTGATCATGACAAAAAAAAAAAGGATTACTTCAGAGTAAAGGTAAAGAGAAAAAAAAAAAAAATATAAAATTGTAAAGAAACTTGCAAAACCACTGACCAGAAAATATCTAGAAAATCTGTAATATGAAACTTATCCCAAGCCTACAGAAGGAGGGAAATGTCATTCCTATCTATAAGGAAAGCCACAAAGGTCAGTCCAAAAAGATATAGACCAGTGGCACTAATATCTCAATATAAAAAAAAAATATTTGAAAGGGTATTAAAAAACAGAAAAAGAAAACCAGATACAATCTAGACAATGTGGATTTCCAAAGAGTAGGTCTTGTCTATTCTAAATCCATAACCACATGAAGCACATACTTGAAAACCTAACTGAATATAAATAAGTCGCTGTAATATACTTAGACTTTACAAAACTTTAAGTAAATTACGGTCATGAAAGTAACTATATTACTTTCATTGTTGACCCTGAAAGTTTACTCCTTAAGAAGGACTATCTTGGAATTACATAATAGTAGGAATATAGACATTATTTCCTAACAAATTAAAAATAAAAAGTATACATAATAGTATATTCTAAAATAAATCAACTTTTAGAAGTTAAGTGCCACAAGGCTAAGTTCTTGGGCCCCGGGAGTTCTTAACTATGACTGGGGACATTAATGCAGATATTAAACAATCTAGAATAGTTCTGCGGATGAGATACGGATAAGTACACTATCAAATTTAACACTGGATGTAAATAAACTGTCAAATTTAATACAGGATGAAAATAAACTATGAGAGGACCTATATGCCATTTGTAAATGGGCAAGCAGAAAATATATGAACTTCGATTGAAAAAATAACAACAATAACAAATTGAACAGAACAACTGACAGTCTCACCCAAAAGCATCAGTGGCTGGTGTTGATTCCAAGTTGAACTCTGCCACGGGAACACCTCGGCTAGCAACACTGGGCGCAAACATGGCAGCTGGATAGACGACAGACGAGGTACCCACCACCAAGCAAAGGTCACAGGAGTCCAGTTCTCTGTCTGTAAATTTAGATACATTTGTAAACTTTAGTGAGATTTGTCTTCTAGTCTCTCTGTCACTCTGTTTCATCATATCTTCATATACATATATAAAGTAGTCACACCTGTAATCTGACATTTAACCTTGCTTGGAGATATTGAGTATCATTAAACATAAAAAAATGTGGTAATGCATTATTCCATCCTTCATAAAAAAAGGAAAAGAAAGAAAAAAATCCTCATTAAGTCCATCAAAAATGGTGAGGGAAGACTTACCTGTCTTTGCCAACACTGCAGGGTCTAGGCCTTCACCAAACCACACTACATCAGGTCGCAGCAGCCCGGAGCACGCCTTGCACCTCGGTAAATCTGCTTCCGAAATTCTGGCATCCTCAGCTTTAGGGTCAGGAGCTCTGAATGTAATAAGCATGAAGTATTTAGGAAAATTTAACAATCATATCAGAGTGAACTCATTGTCAGAAAGTGTGTGTGTGTGTGTGTGTGTGTGTGTGTGTGTGTGTGTGTGTGTGTGTGTGTGTGTGTGTGTGTGTGTGTGTGTGTGTGTGTGTGTGTGTGTGTGTGTGTGTGTGTGTGTGTGTGTGTGTGTGTGTGTGTGTGTGTGTGTGTGTGTGTGTAATGATGACCCTTCAATTCAGTCACCCTAACATACCCCTTTCCTGCCAGTGCTGGACAAATCGGACTGTCCCTATTGGCCAAAATTTCAAGACAGTTGGTGCAGCGTGTACGAAAGAGCGATCCATGGAGCTCTAAGATCTCTGTGGATCCAGCTCTCCTGTGTAGCTCGTCTATGTTCTGCGTTATGACAACCAGTCGGCGACCTTCGGCAGCGAGACGTTTTTCTGCTTCTGCAATGGCTATGTGTGCCTGAAAAAAAGAAGTAAGAAAGGAAAATAAATGTCAATGTGTGTGTGTGTGTGTGTGTGTGTGTATGTGTGTGTGTGTGTGTGTGTGTGTGTGTGTGTGTGTGTGTGTGTGTGTGTGTGTGTGTGTGTGTGTGTGTGTGTGTGTGTGTGTGTGTGTGTGTGTGTGTGTGTTGTGTGTGTGGTGTGTGTGTGTGTGTGTGTGTGTTTGTGTGTGTGTGTGTTTGTGTGTGTGTGTGTGTGTGTGTGTGTGTGTGTGTGTGTGTGTGTGTGTGTGTGTGTGTGTGTGTGTGTGTGTGTGTGTGTGTGTGTGTGTGTGTGTGTGCATGTGTGTGTGTGCGTGTGTGTGATGTATATATATACGCATATACATACATATATGTATACACATATACATATATATATGCACATATATACATATATATACACATGTATATACTCATAGAAGGATAAATATTAGTGCTCTTTCTCTTGCTGATACTTATAAATCATGTCATAAATAGTAATAGCATATACTTTACAGTACTGCGTGATAATACAACCTACAGATACTACAACAGTAAGCTCAAAAATAAATTCATGTGATATAACAGTTAATTCGAAACTTTGAGTAAACATTAACATACCGTTCTACATGACCCATTCAAACTGTATAGCAAGTACACAGACCTATAATCATCTGGATACTTGAGACCTCAAAACCATCTACTGTAATATTCTTACTGACTGTGGTCTGAACTAGAACAAGGTAATGTTTAATAAACAGTGTTACATACTTCATCAAAAGATCATTCATCTACATTCCAATCTCTGAAATTCATTAGTTTTTAGTACTTCAACAGAACACTTACTACAACATAGTATGGGAAAGAGTACCAGATAATTACTAATATCTTCTTTTTAATTCTCAAAAGAAAATTATAAGAGTGTGGTTTTTCTAAAAAAAAGTATGATCAAACCAAAGAAACAATTATTTCCCTCAGCATATAAAAGTAAAATGAATTAGAAGAACAATGTGTTAGATCAATGTTTATAAACCCCAAAAAGGCCCCTATAATACTACTATCCTTCCAGTGAGCAACAGATTTTATAACTTTAGAAACATCATAATACTTTGTGATTCCTTTGTATAATCATTTCATGAACAGGACCACATGAAGCATAGTTTTGGCTTTGTACTTTTGACTATGGAATAGGCTAAAATATCTTTTTGTGTATTTGCTAAAATATATTTTGAGCTGGTTCCTTACTTGAGAGAAAATAACTATGAAGGTTTAAATGCTCCACATCATCATAATGTTGGAGGTTTGCCTTTGCTGATGTTCAAAATTCGGACACAACAGTATTGGACTTGACTGCTAAAATGCAGATGTGCAGATTCAGCCTTGCACTTGTGATCTCTACTTTGCGCAGATAATTTTGATACATAATAGTACTTCCTGATGTGTTTCCTACAGCCATAACCCTGGTTTTTCTATCAAAACACATAATCAGATTTGAACATTGCCTCACTTCAATAAAGCATCAAGGAAATAAATAGCAATACTTATCCCTGGGAATTCTATGAAAAAAGCCATCAATTGATTTTTTTTTTCAAATGCATCTACTTATAAACCACTCAGACTCACTGACAAACCAATCATATTTCTTTTTAATACATTTGCTATCAATCCCATCTAATACGTGGTTAAATGGTAAAGGATATGAACTTAAACTGCCTAAACAACCACACTCCCTTTTAATACTTATAACTCCTTTAAGTTGCCCCAATCAATAGGAATGTATTTCCTATACTGTGCTCATTCCTCTATTATGTGTAAATATTTCCTGCCAGAGGACTTATATCATAAGTATATCCTCTATCTCTTTATATACATGCATGTGTGTATATATGAGTATAAACTATGTGATTTAAAAGCAGGTTATTTCAACAGATCATCAGATATGGCAATGTATGAAGTGAACTGTGTATAGTTGCATAATAAAAAATAGTGTCATTTTAATTGATTCTATAAAAAGAAAAATGATAATAACTCGTAATTTCCCTTGCAAACACAACACTTTCCTCAGAAGAGAGAGAGAAAGAATGGCGGGGGGGAACTTACAGGGTTCGGCTCCTTCGTATTCATCACCTCCCTGCGGTAATGGTAGAACTCCCACACCAACGATGGATTTGCTCGGAATGCGTGGGGAGAGGCCAGATCCTGGGCCTGCCAAGTGCGCCAAAATCCTCCAGCTCCTCGAAAGGTTGGGACACCTGATTCTGCAGATACTCCAGCACCTGTGAATTACAATGCGGGTTGTGTTAAAGACTGCACTCAGCATGTGATTGCAGACTGACATTCATGAAGATTATGGTATAACTCATTTTGAAACATTTCACCTTTTAGACTTCAGCCCTCAATATAAAATGAATAAGATAGATGTAAAAATAAGCATGCTAAAACAAGTAAAACTTGGAACATAATATAAAATATGTACAATAAATATATGGATAAAACAGTATAAATTTATGGTTTATCTAAGCAACAAAGAATAGGGTATACTCATTCATCATTAGTATTATTATAGTTCTTATTATCACTGTTATAATTATCATTATCTTTGTTGCTATTATCATCATAATTATCTTTATCATTATCATTATTTTCTCATTATCACTACCATTACCATTATTAACATTGTCATTATCATTACAAGCATCAGAATCATTACCAATATCATTAATATCATTTCATAAAAAATCATCATCACCATTACTATTACTATCATTCCTTAATTCTATTACTCTCTTTTTCTTAAAATCAATTTTTAATAGAGATTAAATATAATTCTTTTTTTTTTTTTTTTTTTCCAATTTGAGCTCCATTTTTGTTCTATTTTAATTTTCTTTATATTGACAGCAACTCTTAGTTTTTTATTTTACAACTGATCCCTTAATATTCCTTTGTGGTTAATCACTTGAAAATTTTTGAAGATAAAGAACGCAGGGCTCGATCCAAATACCTAACAGGAAACGGTGGTAGAAACGCCAAAAAAAAAAAAATAAAAAAATAAAAATAAAAAGCTTGAGAAACAAAAAATCTATCTTAGAATAAATAATATTTACATACATTACTGAATTTACATGGAAACCTGTGTACATATAAGTGACATTCGTAAAACTGGCAAAACCAAAAACCATTTTCTTCCTACTAACAGGTATTTTCCTCTACAAAAATAATTTGGGATATAACTAAAAATATTGGTAATTTGACACTGACAACTTTAAAATTTGACATGAACTGATAGCTTACATGAAGGACAGTGTAGAAAACTCAATGTAACTTAATGAAACTTAATCCTATTTGGCTAAAAGTTTCCGTCCAAAAAGTTCCTAATATGAATCACCCTTTCCCAAGACATGAAAAGCACATGAAATCTCTTAATACCACTCATTCTCCCCTCTAATTTCAACCTCACTCATCGCCAACAGTCTCGCACCACCTTATTCTCACCTGTTAACACCACGACATGCTTGGCCTTGGCGAAATACTCGCGAAATTTGGCCATATCTGAGCTGGGTCGAGAGCCTTCCATCCCGAGGACGTATCTTCCCTGGAGTAACCTCTGACCTGCCCTTCCCCCTGCTACTCTCGCCGTCCCCAAGAGCTGGCACAGCATATTTCGGTCAAATTTTAATATATTATTGAAAACGATCTGGTGCCTGGGACAATATACGTGGTGGTCTTCGGCCTGGAGGTTTCCAAGGGCTTCGGTGAAAGGAAAAGGGGTTTACTGCGAAAATACACCGATGTTGTGACGTTTGGTGGGTCTTCT